AATCAATGGCCGCCGGTAGCGGCACTCGGCCCCAGCTGCCAAGGCCGCGGTCCGCGATCCAGCCTATTGCAAGAGAGATCAGTGGTGCCGAGTCTACACGTCTACACTAATGGGCGCCCGAGCTCTGTGGTGGCCATCCGCTCGAGCATGTTGTTACCGAAATCGCAAATCTCCCGTTTTTCTTTTTTTGGTGGTTTTTAGTAGGCTTACTATGTGGCGCCGGAAGCAGTCCAGTTTTATTTTAGCGTTTTTATACGTCCACTTACTGCGTAAAAAAACCATACCCACTATGGCTAGTAGGAAAGTAACCGCTCACTAAAATGGCGCTGCTAACACAGCCACTCAGTTCTTTCGCTGCCTCTTTCAAATACCGATTCCTATGAGGAAAGCCGCGTTGCTTCCGTACACACGAAGTACTGATGGATACGCCGAAACCGCGCGTTCTCGTGTCTAACGCTGCTTCTTGCGTGAAAGAGGTGAGAGTTACAGTCCGGAACGACGGCCGGGTCGGTGTCGGAGCGATTTGTCGTGCTCCAAATTTTTAAGCCCATGGGCGATAACATATTTCTTTATTTGAATACTAACCGGTCTTGGTGAAAATGCAGCCGGAATGAGGTCCCGCAGGTCGGGTGAACCGATACGCCGATTGGAACTTGTGTACAGAGAAAGACGTGGCTTGATGCAGTCTCTTCCAGTGTCGCGTAATCGCCGTACTGTATATGGTGTCGGTGCTTCGGGGCGGGTGCCTGCGGCGGTTTAGCGCGCATGGAAGACTAAGGATGGCCGTGTGCAACCTAGGCTTTCACGCTGGCGAAAAGACATTTAATACGCTGGGCCTCACTCCTAGCTCCCGCCTCACGTCAAGCGGCCGCCATTTTATGAGGACGTCGCAAGAAGCAGCCGTATAGATGTGCGACCGCGGAAGGAAGTACACGTTCAAAGGAGTTTATTTCACATAAGAGCTCGCGCATAAAAAATACACCAAGCCATACGTGCCCGCCCTGTCAAAACCGTTTACGCGTCCAGAGGTGCCGATTTTTGCTAACCATGCAGTCTTTCTGCACGCGCAACAACCGCGCTCATGGCGCATTCACACTGGAAGCGGATCCGCGAGCGACCCCGTTCAGACACACCGAGAGGCCGTTGGCGGTTTCTCGGCGATCACGCGTGATCTTTTGAGACTTGCGTTTGGCAACCCTGTTGTACAATCCAAAATCCACTTTAATTCAAGATCCAAAGCCAAAGTTTTGCTATTTTGGCACTCGGAATATTTTTCTCCGGGATGTTCGCGCGCATCACGAGTTCAGGCAGCGAAAAAAGAAGCACGGACCCGACAAACTCGCCTCTGATTCCCTCGACTTCACCCACAAGCAAAGCCAAGCTAGGCGCGCCTTGCTGACTCAGAACAGGATGCCCCCGACCTTTTCTTCGAAGCGGACCCTACCCGCATGAATAGCTGACCTTGTTTTCGGGATAGAGGGCCAGTTTTCCCCCCCTCGTTGTTCGCTCTTATCATTTTCGAAGTTGTGAGCGGTGGGGTGAACCGTGGTGCGGGGGAATGTGTTCGTTGCTAGCCGGTCGTGGCTTCGTTGGTGGCGGAATCTCCTCTCGTCACTCGCTCGTCGATCGAGTCCACTGTTTGCTTGACATTAAGCTCAAATAAACGCCGTATGGATTACCTCAGCATTGTCTGGTACGTACGCTTTATTCCTTGAGTAGGTTCCCTTTATTTATTTTAGTAGTAACCGTTACAGGTCGAGCTAGCGCAGGTACCCTGCCCCCTCCGCGGTAATGCGTTGGCTACTCAATCAAGCTCACGACGTCTCTATCGGCCTTCGTGGTGGTCATGGACGGTGTCGAAGGCTTTCAATAGTTTACGCGAATGTCCTAGTGGGTAGAAAAGCTGACATTTCGGTCGACCAGGGGCGGGCTCCGACGTTCTACAGGCAGAGATTAACAAGGCAGCCAGCTTGGGCTGTGACACCCGGAATAATAAACAGACTCTTACCCGAACCAAAACACCGGTGCGAAGCCCGTTAAAATTACGAGTCAATTCTTTTTGCGGCGGATTCAAGTGACAGACGTGAACATCAAGTTTCTCCGTTGATTTGTCGAAAGCTAAGACTACAGCGCTAGGACTAGAGCGCCTTGGACGCCTCACCAGCGACAAGTGCCATCTTGTTTCGAAAGTCACTGACGTCACGTCGGGTTGCGATTGGTTGCCGCTTTGCGGTTCGTAAAAGCGGTTGGCAGATATCGGTCCCGAAGCGGTTGGCAAAAACGCGCTCCAACCGCTCGATCCTAGCCGCTCTGCGGTTGAGAACGCGAGGATCCGCTTCGCGAACGCGGATCCGCTTCCAGTGTGAACGCGCCATAAGAGTCTGTGCGAGCAGAGGACGAGGTGGCACTAGATGTCTCGTGAACTGGCGTCTGCCCTCTGTGAACTAAAGTCATGGCGGATCATGGCACTGGAAGCGGATCGGCAGCCGCAAAGCGGATCCGCGCGTTCTCAACCGCAAAGCGGCTGGGATTGAGCGGTTGGGGCGCGCTTTTGCAGACCGCTTCGGGACCGATGTCTCCCGACCGCTTTCCCAAAGTGCGAAGCGGCAACAAATCTCAACTCGACGCTTACGTGACTTCGGTGGCTTTTGAAACACGATGGCATCTGTCGCTGGGGAGGCGTCCAAGGTGCTGTAGTCCTAGCGTTCAAGCAGATAAAGAAACAAAGAAACGTGATGTTGACGTCCGTCGCTTGAATCCGCCGCGAAAAGAATTGACTCGTAATCTTAACGGTCTTCGCTCCGGTCTTTAAGTTCGGGTAAGAGTTTTTCTTTTTTAATTTTTTTTTATTCGAGGTGTTAAAGCTCGTCGCCCTCTGCCTTGTTAGTCTTAGCCCGTAGAAGATCGGAACCCACTCCCGATCGATCGAAATGGCAGCTTTTGTGACCACTAAGACAGTTGCGTGAACTACTTAAAGCCTTCGGCACAGTGCGTGAGCACCACGAAGGCCAAGAGAGACGTCGTGAGCCCATTAGCGTACCCAACGCATTACCACGGATCTGGCAAGGCACCTGCGCTAGCTCGACCTGTAACGTTTACTACAACCAAAAGGAGTAAGGAGACCCACTCAAGAAATAAAATGTACTTGTAGGACGATGTATAAGAAATCCATACGGCATATATTTGAACTTAATATCAGACAAGTAGTCTCGTTCAGCGTACGAGTGACAAGAGGAGAGTCCGCCACCAACGAAGCCACGACGGGCAAGCACCGAACACATTCCCCCGCCCCACGGTCCACCAGTGCCGCTCATAACTCCGGAAATAGTAAGAGCGAACAATGCGGTGGAGAAAGTTTCCTTTTATACCCCCCTGCCCCCCCCCCTCCCCCCCCCCCCCCCCCCCCCCAAAAAAAAAAAAAAATGTCTGCTATTCATGCGGGAAGGGCAACTTGGAATAAAGGGTCGGGAGCATTCTCTTCTGCGTCAGCAAAGGGCACCTACGCCTGGCTGGGCTTTGCTTGAATACGAAGTCGGGGAAATCGCCGGAGGGGTTTGTGGGTACACGTCTCTTTTTTCGCTGCCCGAAACTCGTAATGCGAGCGAACAATGACAACCCGGAGAAAAATCTTTAGAGTGCTGAAATAGCTCTCTGGGGTCTCCAACCAGTCTCCGACAGCGTTGCGAAAAACTGTCGGTCGTCTCTTCTCTCCTCCCTTCTTTCTCTCTCGCTCCTTCAGCGCTCTCCTCCTTTTCATTTACTTTTCTCCTCTCCGGCGCCTTCGCCGCCACACCCACTGGCCAAACTCTCCCAATACACGGCTCTGCCGCCAACGACCGAGCATACGGCGCCGAGAGCCGGCGTCTTAGCAGACGATCTTTGTGAGTCAAAAGCGGCGCGCGTTCCGTAGGCGGCGACAGTCGCAGAAACAAAAACAGGCGCGGTAACAACAAGGAACTACAGTGGCTTAAATCGGGTAGTGTGGTTATCGCGTAGCCTCCACCATGCATCTGGAACTGCCGCTCCTTGGGAGACGGTGTAGGTGGCGCTTCGATCCGCAGCTCCGTTGGGTGCCTCCATCGGCCGGCAGATAGAGGCATCCTAACACGCTTCATAACTAATATAAATACCTCAAAAACAATTATTTGTTTCCAGCGAACTTCCAACGACATGATTTGTGTTTGAAGGAGAATAAAACTGTGAAACTAGCAAACGACAGTGTAGTCGACAGCTGCGAATCGGCCGGAGCTGGCCGGAGCCAGGCTGACCAAGAGGCCAAGCCGGAGCCATAGCCGGAACGACGGTGCTGCAAGCGCCAGCGCCACCCGCGGCCGTCTTCCAACGCTGTGCCGCTTCTCTGGTTTCGTTCGTTACACTACCCTCTTTAAGCCACTGTAAAAGAGCTGCAGTTCTTTGTCTGCTAAAGACGCCGGCTCTCGGCGTCGTATGCTCGTTCGTTTGCGGCAGCTGGCGTCGCGACCGCTTGCGCCATCTCTTGTCTCCCCTGCGAAATGGTGCCGTGTTGTTTGAAGACAGGTGGAGTCGCTGCGTTTTCATAGGAGCTAAGCCTTTTTCTTTCTTTACTCTTTCCTCGGGTAAATTCGCTCTTAACAAATTTTACAAAAAAAAAAAAAGCACCATCTGTGGGCAACGCCGCACAAAGTCGTAGCGCGAACCGAATTTTCGGCCGTTTTGAAGAGCCTAGCGTCTTCTTGAATCACCCTGTAATATTTACTCATTTAGTGGTTTTCGTCGTTCGATGACATTCAGAGAGTGTCTGATTGGAATCATATATTTATCTTCAATCATTAAAAAGGTCATCAACATATTTTTGTTAAATGACTGATTGATCCTGAGAATTATCGACCTATAATATGTCCCCCCGACCGTAAAACCCACATGTACAGTCCGCATTAGTGTAGCTTTCATGTCTTTTTTTTTTTTTTAAAGCATATCTGTAAGGCCTTAAAGAAACCAGCCTGTATTTCTTAATCACATACCTTCCATGCATCTTGCAGGGGCTCAAGTCCTGGGTAGTTGAATGTAGGTCGGTTATCTGGGTTTCTTATGGTCATATTTTTCGTCCAGTGAAAGCTGGGTGCCCAGTCCTCCACCGTAGGCCACACCATAGTTGCGATGACACACGCGAACAGCACAGCGTAATGCAAGCCCATTGCAGAGGAGGCTTTTCACATTCGCTACAGCTTCGAGATCGACTGAACAGTGCTTAAGTAATATAAAAAATTTGTATTGTTTTTTTTGTTTGTTTTTTTTGTCATTTTAAAATACAGCTGTACCGGATAGAGCTGACATGTTTGACAAGACTCCGCTGAGAGCTAAGCATTCTTCAGAGAGCGCCGTTGGTTACGTCAGGAGCGATTTCACAAAATCGATGAAACAGGTGTTCGCCATAAACAGCAGAATACAAAAAAAAATATTCCAGAAGTAACTTCGTAAAGCAATTATGAATTTCGTTTTTACCGACGCCGTCGTTGCTTTGGTGTCTGTGGTTGCGGCAGACACAAACGCCTGTAACAACATTAAAGCGACATACACGACATTCACATTTCGCCGTACACGTGTGAATAAACCCAAAAATTAACTGACGCGATGAAGAAAAAAACTAATTGTGCGGCGGATGGGCGTATTCCAGATCAAGACAATCACCCAAAGTTTTTATCCCACCCCGGCTCGCACTGGCGTGGGACATTTATGATCAGGAACAAGGAAACGAGATACGACGTGGCTAACTATGGACATGAAGTTCTATGCAACACAATGCTTGGCGGAATCCAATAGCCTTATTACCGCTCCGAAACCGATTACATTTTTTTCTGATATCAACGCCCACGAACAAATCACAACACGAGTACAGTGAGCGTAGTAAGTCACACGCCTGGCATTTCTTAAGCCGTCAGTAACTACATATAGTGCGTCCCAAGTCACCAGGCTCGAGCTAAAATATACCGTAAAAATCGACGCCTGCATGTAGCAATCTAATTTCCTTCTCTTCGAGTTCACAATGTTTCAGTGAATAGTGAAATCTAGTTTGGTCTAAATGAAGAAGACCATGCCACACAAATTGGAGTATCAAAGTAACAGTAGTACCCAATTACTATGCTCCAAGTCATGAAAAATATTTAAAAATCGCATGATGTCGCATGTCATACACCGACAAAATTCAGACTTCACTCATAACACCATATATTTAAAAGAAATACTAAAGTAAAAATGGGAAGGCAAGGAAGGAAATTCATCCGAAAGTAATTTTTAACTTGTTACTTTGTTACTTTAACTTGTACTTTGTAACTTGTAACGATTACAAAGTGTCATTAGCATTATCGTCGGCCCGCACCAGACGTGTGGTATAAAGGGAAGGAGTTTTGTAACGAACGTGCACGTTGCACGAAGTGTTTTGGAATGTTGCGACACTATGGAAAGAAGAGTGGCAATGTTACAGGTCGACCTGGAAAAGGCCTTCGACCGCGTGTCCCATGAAATCCTTTTTGCTATTTTAGATCATGTAAATGTAGGGGCAGTTTTGTCTGATGGTATACGTATGGCATACAAAAATTGCGCCACTCGACTTGTGGTGAACAAATGTGTGACTGAGCGCGTTCCTCTCCTTTCTTCCGTGAGACAAGGCTGTCCGATTTCGCCGTTGCTTTTTTGTATTTTTCTTGAACCGTTTTGTTTAAGCGTTATTCATAGTAGTTACATTCGAGGTTTTAAGTTATACAAACTGTTGAAGTCCGAATCTTGTCATATGCGGACGACGTAGCAATTTTTTGTAGCGACAAGGACAGTGTAAAGAAAGCCATAGAGTTGATAGAAATGTTTTGCGACCGTACGTGCAGTTTTGTAAACTTTGAAAAGTGTGTGGGTCTTCGGCACGGCGATTGGCCTTCTACGCCGACTGTGTATGAACGCAATACGTGGACGGATTCGCCGTCTCGGTATCTTGGGGTGCCATTGAATCACTATCGCAACACTGACGAATTCTGGCGCGATGAGACGGAGGCTTTGCGCGCCAAGGCGAACAAGTGGGGAGGCCATGGTTTATCAATCTTCGCGCGTGCATCTGTGTGTAACACATTTCTTGCTGCGAAGATTTGGTACGGGTTGCAGGTGTTGCATTGTTCACGTATTAACGTTCACCGCATTCATCGTGTGTTTGCCGTCTTCATTTGGAGCTCGGTATGGGAGAGGACGAGCCGAACGAATCTTTTCCGAAGGGTCAGTGTTGGCGGTCTGGGGCTTTCCAATTTGATTGTCAGACAGCTGGTTAATAGATTTTTATTTCTTCGAGACCAGAAAGATCCTTTTTTATGCACGGTCATTCAAGCGAGGCTGCGCAGCGCTCTTCCTGAGTTCATTGTGTCGTCTGGCATAGACGTCAGTGGTTCTGTACGCGGTTATCTAAAAGAAGTCGTTGGTTCTTATCAGTCTTTAACAACGCGCTTATCTTTGGAATACTTGTGCGGTGTCTCGCGGAAACGGTTGACAAAAGACATTATTGATTTAATTTTTCCCACTCCTTTGTATTGTATGTTTTTCAGTGAAGGCCCAGGGCAGGACGTATTAAAACGTGTAAAAAGAATGGTCATTCCCGCCTCAACCAAAACGTTTTTTTTTTTTTTTTTCAAGTTGCACAGCCAAACCTTACCTGTCGAAGCATGGCTAGCCGAAAAGGGAGTGCCTATTGCGTGGACCGATAACTGCATATTATGCAAAAAGCAGGAAACAATCGAACATGTTTTTATAGACTGCTGGGTGCAGTGTTTTTCTGGGACGTACTGCAAAGAACGCTCAAAAAGGACCTGCCTCTTACGCCGCATGGAATTCGTTTTTTACCTGTTAAAGGGGACGAGGGCGTACCTCTAGACATGGTCATGCTGATGGGCCTTCACAGTTTGTGGCGGTGTCGCATGGCCGTGCGCCATGCAGACGTCGATCTGCGTCCTGTGCAAAAGTATTTTGCAGAGCAAATGTGCTTTATGAAGGAAGTGTATAAGGCCCAACAACCTTGGCCTGAATGGTTGCCACTTCTTGAGGGGCTTGCTAACCTCAAAGAATTTTAACATTTTTGCGTCAGCCAGGTGAGCTGATGTTTTTTTAACCTCTTATTTTGAGTGTAGGTTATTGCATTGTCCCTGTCAAAATCAAGCAATAAAGAAAAAAAAAAAAAGTCGTGGCCGAGTGGTTAAGGCGATGGACTAGAAATCCACTGGGGTCTCCCCGCGCAGGTTCGAATCCTGACGACTGCGCAAACATTTTTTTTTTATGTGAGCACGGACGCCGGCCGGCCGGCCGGCCGGCCGGACGGACAAGGCTAGACCTTAAAAAGCTTCGCCCCTAAAAAGCCCCTCTTCTCCCTCACAGGGGAACACAAACTCCAGCCGAGCGCTGACGCCGCGTTTGGTTAAGTCAGCCGAGCGCTGAGTCATTGTATTTGTTGTCCCCATCCATGTAGCTCTAAAGTTAACCGCTTGAGGCACCACGGTCTGATCTCCTCCCCAACAGCTAAAGCGTACTCATTCTTGTTGTCCGAGAAAGGTTTTGTAACGTCTATCAGTGATTTTGCCACGTGCGTTGCCCAGCAAGCGCGTGGCCGAATGCTTACCGCGATTGGCTTTCGCGCGGAGGTTCTCGCGCGGAGGCTCCGGGTTCGATACCAGGGAGCGGACTCCTATTTGATTTATTCTTTCAACCTGGCATTCTCGTAAGTTTGAGAACCTTGACGTGTGATTGAGTTACGAATGTTCTACGCGCGAAACTTTCTACGCCGAATGTTCCAGAAACCCCGCCGTCAGTCTCGTCCTAGCCCTCGGTCCTGCTGTTTCCGCATCATCGACGCCCGCGACGCTACCCTTTTCTACTTTGTTTTGGGCACAAGTTCACCTCATTAAACTTTTAGTTTCTTCAGCTATTCGCTGCCTCATTAATTGTCATTCGTGACAATATCCTACTCCGTATAGTTGGACTGCATAAATAGCCCTATAATACTTTTTCTTTTCTTTTTCCGTTTTGTGTTGTTGCGTGCTAATAAACCATACTGGTAACCAAGATTTGCCCAGCTGTATAATTGTCGTTGTGACAACAACAATTATACAGCAGTAAGCAGACGTCCATACAAATTACGCAATGCGGACGTATCTTCAAAAGTAACTGAATTACTTTTCTAAGTATTTGTACTCTACTCAATATAGTTTACAGTGAAGGTAACTTGAATATTATTTTAAAACATTATGAAACAGGTATTCAGTAACTTAACTTAAACATCGAGTAATTTGTCCAACACTGCCGCAGAGTGAGTTATCGCTATATTTAAGCGATCTTAAAAACCTCCTCAGGGAACCTTGTGGGAGCCAAGTGTGAAAGACGACGCAGAGCGCACGTGACAGGCGGTCGGCGGAGAAGTCACGAGCTGGCACTAGAGAGTGCGTGCTGAGCGAGGCTGGAGCTGGCCAGGAACGACGGAGCCGGGCTGCCTGCCCTGGCCCATGGCGAACCCCGGAGCGGTCCACCATCGAGGTTCGAAGTCCAGACCGGTGGAAACGGCGGGCCGTGGCCATCTGGCCTAGTCCAGGACGATCCCGAGGTGGTTCCACAGCGAGACTCGGGCAGTGATTGTCCAGGATAGCCAGCCTACGCAGCGCTGGCGTGGGATGGCCGACCCGCAGGCCTGGACACGGACTCCGACTGCGAGCTCTAATCGACGGGCGACGACAAGGGTCGGCGGGCCCGGACTGCCGGCTCTCGACGACGGGCAACCGGGAGGTACAGAAAACCCATTAGCTGTCTTCTCGTTGTGTTATGTCACTGCCTGGGTGACGAGCGAAACGTATACCGCTTGGGCGGCGAATATTAGTAGAGGGAGCTCCAAAAAGAAACCCACATCAAAATGGCGCATCCAACGTGGGACCCGTTCCGTATGCCTCTGCTTCTAGTCGTCCCCAGGGAGTTTCACGGATTCCTTGAGCAGGTTGTTCGCTAACGCTAACGATGCCCGTTGAGACAAAGTATGTTCGAATTTTGTCGACTTGTCTCACAGCAGAGCTCAGCAGGTGTCTCCTCGAATCGAGTACGTAAAGGGCTCGAAAGACGAGGTTGCGCACGTGCTTTCTCGGGTACCCCGGAATAGTGGTTGGCAGAAGGTAGTGCTACCGGGGGG